TTCGTGCTCAAGTTCTCTTTAATCAATTCTGTGTTCTTTCGCGCTTGAGTTCACCTTGGAACTCGAAATTGAAATTAAAATTCGTCGCTTGCTATTGGTCGATAACTGGTTATGCAATGTGAGGTCATGGCCCCTCTGTGCGTGGTATGACACATATCGCTTTTCAGCAATACTAAAATACATAAACAATAGAGACAGCGCCTTTTGCGGCTGACCATTCTCACGTATCCACGAAAGAGCGGATGTGCTTTTCGATATACATATACAACAAAACAACAGCAAATCAGTAAAAACATGGAATCGCCATCGAAAGATATTTTCAATGTTTTGGATGAATTCATCGCTGCCATCGAAGAAACCAAGCAAGTGCTTCAAAACCCTTGTGTTCCCGGGAGAACTGACTCGTGCTGTCTTTGCGACTGCGAGCGACCTCGAAGAAAAAAACCTATCGCTCGCGAACCTTGCGACTGTGAATTGCTTCAGTCGCATTTAATGGGATCCGAAGACGAACTACACAGATACGGAGACAATAAATATGACCAAACTGTGTTTATTACTCAGCACACGTCTCGGGAGAAAGAGGCAGAGGGATTGGTGACTGAAATGAATTACCTTCTCAACCAGATTTCTACCGCTGCGAACTCGTTGAAAAAGATATACAATCGAAGATCTTCCCCGGTGATTGACGACATTTGAAGGGTTTCCTGCTTCCAAATGGTTTTCCTTCCTCTGATCGGAGTTTGGTCTGAAAATGCAGCTTGTGGATGATGGATTATTTGAAAGCTGCGCACGAAGGAAACATCGTGTGGACAGTGGACATCTCAGGCATCACTGGAATCTGTTTTGATGGAAAATGGTCTGTTGCTAATTCCTACTCTTAAAATTGCACAGATACGAAAATCTTCATTTTGTTGAGTCTAACGAAGTCTTGGAAGTCAAGCAAACCTTACTTTCTACGCGCCCTTATGGACCAATTATAAATTAATACGATCGAGTTTGGACAGCAACTATACAAACATGACGCGGTTTACACGCGCGATCGGATTGACTTTCACTTTCGGATATCACTCTCTTTACTAGAAAAATATAATAGCGAGGTATGAGGACATTTCGGCAGCTTTACACCACCTGTAACAAACATGGAGTGAATCATCGAAAGTAGAGTAGCGAAGCTGAAGAAAATTCACGATACTGCTCATAAATTTTGCAGCAGCTGGTAAAACCGAAAATTCATCAATTTGCGTGTGAGACAATAAGGAATATGTAAAGTGACGAAAATAGTTGTTTAGCCCAAATAAAACAACAGCATGTTTTAGTCAGGTGGGAAAAGTTAAAAGGCGATAGCGGGTTATATAGAAGCGAAACAAATTTCGTGGGTGTTTTTCGAAATTTTGATGTTGACGGGGCAAAGTGTCTAGTTCATGGTGATTACATAGCAGGAAATGGGAGGAAGTGTTTGAAGTGGTATATTTATTGAAAACAATTTAGAAATTATTTAGTAATTTGAATATAAAATGTGTCGAGATTTATTGAAAAGTAACATGAAATGTAAAAAACAGAGTGACTGCAAGGGAGCTGACAAATTTGGTTTTGCTTGTTATGTAAGCGAATTTGTTCACGAATAATTTATAATCGGCAGAGGGCTTATGTAAATATGTATAGGACTTGAAAGTGAGCTCAAATGTTGCCCTCATATACTGCAGATTGTATTTGAACAACATTTTTGTATGAAATGGAGAACTGTGAATAAAGCGATAAAATAATAACTGTGATGGAGTGTGCCTATGGTTCGTTACATAACGTTGTCTACAGCTCTGCGGTTTCCATTACAAAAGAAATATCGTACCTGGCACACTTGAGAATGTCAATTTTAATGGTTAGTTTGATTGGGTTATGCCAATCTAATGTAGAAATCCGAATCAAGAAGACAGGACTTGCAAGTGCGCTGTGAAATGGAGAAGGAATAAATAGATAAAAAATAGTGTGCATGAGACGGACTGTGAAATACTGTTCATTTCTCAGACAGTTGTGTAACATTGTTTACAGCGCTACAGATTTCCATCACAAAGAAAAAGTCTTGCCCCGGGAGTTGCCTGGCACGCAAGTGAAATGTTTTGACATGATTTGCGGCAATCCAAACTGAAAACACTGATATCCGAAGGATAAAAAAATATATAATGATAGAGTAAGCATAAAATGTGAATGTTTCGTAATTTTTCTACAGCTCTCAGTGCAGGTGCTCGAAGTGTAAACGTGCCGGGAAAGCACAGCAAATTGTAAAAATTTGTTGTTTGCTTTAAATTTGGCGACAGTCCAAAGTTCCAAATGAAATATCTATGTACTTTGAACTCCACAACGCACTAATGCACGGGAATGAAAAAAGCTAAACCTGATAATGAGCTAACAGGATCAAAGGTTTTTTCACGCGCTCTTGGTTTTTGCCCGCACTTGGCGCGCGACTACCAAGTTTCGCGAGGTGAGCTCCCGTGGGGGAGAAGGCAAGGTATTCCCGAGTCTGTGGACTATGCAGGTGTGCGCCGTCCCAACGAGTATGGTTCTTCGCTCGCAAACCGCAAACCCCACCCCCGCGTGCTTCGCGCTCGCTTCGCTCGCTTTTTCTTGCTCGTGGGTAAACTGAGAGAGGCGGTAAACAGTCTAGGTTCTTTAGTTGTTTTGGTCAGAAGTGGGGTATCGATTTTGGCCATTTTGGTCTCAAATCCGGGGTAAGGTTTTAGCATTCTAGTCTGGAATTGGGTATGTTTTTTATCATTATTGACAAGACTGCCAATAAAAGCCCTTCACAGTGCCTTTAACATCGGTCTGAACTAGGGAACTAATTGTAGGGAAGGTCCGAAATAGCTGTCAGGTCATAAATAGGGTAGGGAAAATTGCAGATTTTGGTCTTAAACAGGGTTAGGGTTTTGGGAAGCGGGCCGCACGCGTCAACCCCACACAACTTTTGTGGGAGTACCCCAGGGGTGAGCTAAATTCTGCTGCAGACCGTGTTTTATATATCCTGGTATAGGAGAGTTGAGGAAGACGAATATACAAGCTCTCTTTGCTTACTGCTGTTGGTGAGTAAGCACGATTCAGTCGCGACGGGAGAGAAGCTTTCTCTTTCATCTGAGTATTACGCTCTTTCTTTTTAGTTTCTAATATCACCTTGATGAATACTGTTTAAACATGTGTAACAATGGTAGTGGTGCAGCTCTACCTTAGTTAGGACAGGTTAGTTAGGAGAGATTGACGTAAAATACCCTATTCCATTCCAGGGGCACGTCCCTGTATGAAATTATACGAAAAAAAAAATTGTTAAAAGTGTGTGACCGAGTGTGTATGCGGTTCATTTCTCAGACAGTTACGTCTTCAGCGCGCGTTACGAATTTCCATCACAAAGAAAAAGTCTTGCTCCGGGAGACTTGCCTGGCACGCAAGTAAAATGTTGAATGATGTGAGGCCATCCAAACTGCAAAGACAGAAATCCGAAGAAAGAAAATAAAGTGATAGAGCAGGTAATAAAGTAAAAATGTTAGGGTAAATGATTCACTCTTTTTCTACAGCTCTGCTTGCAGGTCCTTGAACTGTGTACGTGCCAGGAAAGCACAGCAAATTATAAAATTTATTGTTTGCTTTTAATTTGGCGACAGTCCAAACGTCCAAGTGAAATATCTACGTACTTTCAACTCCATAACGTACTAATGCATGACAATGAAAAAGCTAAATCTCATAATGGGCTCTAACAGGATCAAAGGTTTTTTCCACGCTCTCGTTGTTGCCCGCGCGTGACGCGACAACCAGTTTTGGCGAGGGGTGGGGTGGGGTGGAGGTTACTGATTAATATGGGCTATATAGGTGTGTGCGGCCCCAAAGGAAATGGTTTTTTAGCCATTTTGGTCGTAATTAGGGTATCGATTTTGGCCATTTTGATCTCAAATAGGGTATCGGTTTTGCACTTTTGTCTTGAAACAGGTATGCTTCTAGAAGAAGCCACTTTTTCATCATTATTGATAAGACCATCAACAAAAGACCTTCATAATGCCATAAACATCAGTCTGAAATGGGAAACTAACGGAAAGAAGGTCCAAGAGGCTGCTGGAAGGTCCGAAACAGGGTATTGATTTAATGACCTAAATTAGAGTATCGAATTTTTCGTCAACCATAATTAGGAAAGGGATTTGGGGAGCAGGCTGCCCTCTTTGTCTGCTTTGTTTACTTACACAGCTATAAGTACGATGCAGTCGCGACGGGAGAGAAGCTCGCGCTGTCTTTCTCTGCAGCTGTAGGCCTCTAGTAAGCAGACGTGTCGCGCGCTGAACATTACTTTAAAACGCCTCTCGCTCGCTTTACGCGCGCTTTCCATTTGGGAGGGCGCTTGTGTACTTTTGGTAGCTCACCTGAGGACGCTTATTAAGGACAGGGCGCTTATTTCTGTTTGAACATGTATTATCACAAATAGGGAGTTTGAGAAACCACGACGGCGACGCTGAGTACAACGTCAGTTAAAAAATGAACTTATATTTTAGCTACGAATCTCATGATACCCTAAAGTTACGTAGTTTGTTTCTCACTGTAAAAACTATCTCGAAACTAAATATGGAACACACAGAGTGTTAAATTCGGAATATAAATTTAAAAAAATAGCCGTCGTGGTTCACGTTCTCCAGACAACACAGAATAGTCCAATTTCGATATATCAAAATTCAGCCCAAAACAATAGACCTTAGTACGAGGCTCTGGGGAATAACTACAGAGTTTGTGGGTTTATTCCCCAGAGCCTCGTGCTGAGGTCTATTGTGTTAGACTGGATTTTAATATATCGAAATTGGTCTATTTGGTCATTTCACCTTGTTGTTTTGTAGAGAACGGCAAAGAAATGTACCAAGATTTATCGGCGCACGTGCACAGCCATTGTTCTGCTCATTAAACCTTTTGTTTAGCGACGTTCCTATCGTGGTTTTCTTAAACTCCCTGATGTTGCGTTCAGCTGAGAAGGCAAACTGGCATAATAATTAAGTTTAACCAGTCTTTTCTGTTTCATTGTCTTTTGATAAAATGTCCCTTATTGGAACGGAGGGGCGTTTCATACTGAAAATAGCCGTCACCATAATCTCTTGACGCCACTCAATAAATAAGAGCGTTTGTTAGAAGAGGGAAGCGAAAGAATTTGGTTGTGATGAAGTTCATCGGTTGCATTATAGTCCAGTGAATGCAAATATTGGAAACGACAAGGCCAGTCACTAGATCGCTATGAAATGCTCTGTTTTCGAGTTGAACTTCCTTGTGTCTTATTGTAAGACTTGTAACACTGTGGGATAAATAACCTATATTCACTCAAATCTCGTTTAAACACCGCAAGATGACAAGGAAAAAGCAGAAATTAAAAAAAAACAAACAAAAAAAAAACGTCAAAATAATTATTCATTAGAGTGGAGGCTTGGTAGTCCTGTGGCACAACCTTCATACAGGCTAACCAAGATATCATTCGAAAGTGATTGGGACTGTGTGCACGTGGTTGTGTATTTTTTTGTAGTGTGTTGTGTGACGTTGCTACTCCTCAATGCCTCCAAGAAACTTCTCGTGGTTTGTTAAAGACAGTTTAGCTGCCCTTGGCCTTCCTTCGACTCGCTCAGATATCGAGTTCCTTTGCAACATAGGAGTGAAGCGACTGATTTCTTTGACAGAAAGTCGGCCATCTTTGCATGGCTTTCCATTGACTCATGTTCATATTCCCATTGTAGACTTTACTCCACCTTCAATTGAACAAGTTAATGAGTTTCTTAGCACTGTAGAGAAGGCTAATTCCGAGGAGGAGGTAAGTGTTTGGCTGTTCAATCGTTCATAGTCTTCATAACAGGTGTGTGTACTACACGCCGGCCGGCAAACGGGTTAAATATTCAAAGTATTCAAACTGTTCGGACTAAGAGAAGTCCAGTTTGTGTTTGCACTAGAGGAGACGCTTCTGTTTTCGTTTGCTCTGGTTACCACAAAATTGGACTAAGGTCGTAAGGAATCATAACTGTCAAAATCTTGCTGTCATTTTCTAGAATCTGGAAACTTTTGACTACATTTCCGCAAAAGTATCACGCTCTGCATGTTATGATGTATAAATTGCCTTTTTTTTAGATTGGTTGGGTTGGTTAGGCGCTACTTGTTTACAAATTTGTCACAAATCTGCAAACGTATCCTCATATATGTGTTGTCGTATGTGGTCATGAAACTACTGGAGCATTGGAAGGATTGGGTCAGGGCTTGGGGGCGGGGGGGGGGGGGGTGCACTTGTACCATTTTGGGTATAGGTAGCTGACGGGCTTAAACCCTGACCCTTTTGAGATAAAATAGCTATTCCTTGTGCAGGGCAAAGGATTGGGTAGAACAGAAGACACTGACAACCCTACAAGTGCCCTCTTACCTTGAAAATTTTCTCGATGTTGACAGATGACTTTCCAACAACTGCAAAAAACTCTCAGTGACAGTGCATCGAAATGCCGTGTATGACACATCGTGACAGACTAGATTCTAGGCCCTCCTGGTTCACTGTCGCTGTGGTTAGTTCTCAGTCCTCCAGCCGCAAGCACGTAGAATGGGCAGGTTTTACATCTAGATTGGTGTAGTTTAGGAGCTTTAATGATGCTAAAATCTCCAAAAAAAGTGAACAATTTATTCCCGCAAAAGTCGTTGNTTTACCTTTCTTTGGATCAATTTTTTTTTATTTCAGTGCTACAGCTGATTTCCCCTATGGGTTTTTTTTTCAGAAAAGAGCTGTTATAGGGACACACTTGTATGCATCTGTTTTATGATGTTTTGGCATATTTTGGTGACCTGTGACCTATGACCTGTGAAAGAAACCTGCCGTTCACAGGCAGCCAAACGTTTTTAAACTGAACTTCTTTATAAGAAAAACTTTCCTCTAGATGGTCAAACCAGGCGGGCAAAATCATCCTCACAGCCAGTCAATATGCACTGTGCCCAGCCCTTAATCTAACCCCTGGTATGGAATTGGGTGCATGTTTGGGAAACTGTTGAGAGTGAAGTTAGTGTGGTTCAGTTTCTGTCTATCCTTTGTTGGTCTTATTTTGAACACATTGTGACAACCAGAAAGAAAAATAATGCCAAGTAGGCCCAAACCTACACTGCTCAACAAAAGTGTTGAGACACTTGGTAGTAAAATTTGATTTTTGAGCGTCTTGAAAACATTTCACCCCCTCCCCCCCAGACAATGTTGATTTTTCTATTTGTTAGACTGCACGGACCACAGCCCCTACACAACATTGAACTGGGTGGCTGGGAGTATCAGAGAATTAATGCTAGATGTAAATAAAATAGAATAAGTGCTTAAATATTGAAAAGCCTCATTTTCTAAAAGTGTCTCAACTACTTGTGTTGCCAATTGTAGCCTCATAAGATGACATCTGTGCCTTGTTCTGAAGTCATTTTGTCATTTTAAACATGTACCCATTATTTGTTATTAACAACATGTTTCACTTTTGCAGGCAGTTGCAGTGCATTGCACGCTTGGTATGGGTAGAAGTGGAACAATGTTGGCGTGTTACTTGGTAAAAACAACCCACTGTGATGCCCAGGAGGCTATCAATGCTGTTAGAGAAAAGAGGCCTGGCTCAATTGAGACGGAACAACAAGAACAACTTGTGCAGGAGTTCAGTGAATCATTAAGATCCAGGGCCGATCAAGCAATGTAATCGCTTGGACCAAGCAACTTAGTTTCTACAAATTTGTAAATCTTTCACATTCGCACAATATTTCTATTTACATTTGATGTTTGAAAATATTCCAATCAACACAGGGTTTGGAATCATCAGAATTTTACATATTTTATGGCTGAACTTTGTAAATTATTATTGCAAGTGCTAATGACTGAAAGGAATGATTTCTTTTAATGTCAGGAAAAAAGAACAGATAGTTCACTGAATGTTACCTAACTGTTGCATTTTTATCAACTTCAAAATACTTGTCAAAACAATCAGGCAGGCTTGATTGGATTTTGATTACAGAATTATCTGTTTTCGTGTTTTGTGTAGCTGATATCTCAAACAATGTTATTTGCACTCAGCAGTTACTCCAGAGAATTTTTTGATCTCCAAAGGGAGAAGTAAACTTTAAAGCACTTAATACCAAACCTGATGTAAAGCTTAAGCAAAGGGCAACACCTGGGGGGGGGGNTCTTGCTTAGGGGTTTAAATCAAGGTTTTCTGGTCTCACTGAGGATGTTCAGGATGAAACACACTATGTTCAGTTGCAAAAGTATCTTTTAGGGTGCGCTCGTGCGCGTGCTTTTAGGGTTCCATATTTAGGCTCAAATTCTGAAACTCTCAAGTCCATTCTACCAGCTCGGGCTCCTTTTCCAAACAGCAGTTGATAATTGAGCCTATTCCATTTTAAGTAAGCCTAGATTCCTTGTTCTAAGTGGTATCTTATGTGTGTGAAATAACCCTCAAGCCACGCCTTGATTGGTCTCATTTTTAGGGGTTTAATTCAAATTTTCCAAATTATGAGCATCCCAGACCTTTTAAAATGGAACTCCCTCCTGGTGGGTAACCTTAAAAGAAAAATACCCCAAAATTTAAAGCCTCTGCATGTGATTTACCTATTTCGTTCTTGTTTGCCCTCTAAAAACAATTTAATATGCGCAACACTCTGTTTAATTGTGGCATTTAAATATTCCAAAAAAAGGGGGGTAGTTCTATTACTGATAAATACATGGAACAGATTTATTCAATTCCAGGACCTTTTAATTCATGTTCTTATCAATATTCTCATTGCAGTTGCTAAAGCCTTTAATTTTCGGCATTGTTAGTGCGTACAGCTGATCATTTGCCAGGGAACCATCACACATGTCACATGATATTTTTTGTTTTGGTTGCAGGGTATGTAGAAAAAACTTTTATTTAAAAATTGAATATACTTTTGCTTTATCCACTCCCAGAAACGGGACTACCTTATAATAGGAAATTAACGCTCGTGTTAATTAAGGTATTTGAAATTAACGTGACTTAAATTAATGCAAATTTAAGGTAAATTTGCTTCCCAATAAAGGAAATTAACGCGAGACAGGGGGCAAAATTTCA